ATGTTTCCAGGGGCTGGGCATCTACCACCTCTGGGCAACCTCCTCCAGTATTTCAGCACCCTCACTGTAAAGAATTTCTTTCTTAGATCTAGTTTGAATCTCCCCTCTTTTAGTTTAAAACCATTACCCCTTGTCCTATTGCAGCAGGCCCTGAGTTAATTTAGATGACATGTTATCACTAGAGTTAATCCATGGAATGCTTAAAGCCCTGGGTTTTTGCCATACATACCACTGTGACAACACCACTTAGTCATGATGTGGCAACCATGCCATAGAGAGTGATTGCAGTGGTACCTCTGACCTTACACTTTGAAATATTAAAAGCCAGTTTACTTGCTCTAGGAAAGCTGTAGAAAGATGATCACAAACACTTGCATAAGAGAGAACATACTCTAACTGTATGAAGACAAGATGCAAATAGAAGCTTCTTTATCCATTTAGACATAGACCTGACATTGCTCTCAGATTTACTTTCAGTTACTTCTGTATATTCAAAGCTAAAGTTATTAGTGAGGTCATTCAGACCCTATCAACTTTGGGTAATACATTCAAAGCAAACAAGTTTAATAGTAAGGGAAAGTTGTTTTGTTTGTGGTATTTGTTCCTTACCCTACCCTGAAAAGAAATATTTTTCATATCCTATCATCACCTAGGCTGTATTTGCATAAAAATGGATATTCACCCAGCAGTGAATAAGAAAGAGAGACTTTAAACCCCAGCCTTGCTTAGAGGTAATGCTTCTTTTGAAGAGAATAAAGGAAGGCATAAATACTTGCATGGTTGCTGTACAGACAGGACTAAACCCCACCTAGTGTGCTGGCTTTGGCTGGGATAGAGTTAATTTTCTACATAATAGCTGGTATGGGGCAATGATTTTTATTTGTGCTGGAGACAGTGTTGAGAACCCAGGGATGTTTCAGTTATTGCTGAGCAGTGCTTACACACTCAAGGCCCCTTCTGCTTCTCCACTACCCCACCAGTGAGTGGGCTGAGGGTGCACAAGTAGTTGGGTGTTGCCTAGTTGCCAGCTGGGGTTAAACCAGAACCCCTGGGTAACTAGCAAACTTGTTTGCATGAAGATGGCAGTCATGTATAGCTCAGGAAGGAAGCTGATATTCTTGGGTTTATTCTTATCATAGTCTTTGTTATCATAGCTTATTAGTACAGTATGTTCTTATTCTTACAATAGTCTACAATTATTGTATGATTCTTGTTCAAAGTTCATTCATCCTGCTTAAATACTGATAAACAGAACTTTACACAGTATTTCACAGAAGTGTAACTCCTTTCTGACCAACAGTGTCTGGCCTGATGTCTCCTCAGATCAAATTTGTCTTGGTTTTCACTGTCACATCACATTGTTGGCATTTATCATTCTATAAACAAGTACATTTCTTCTAACCTGTGATTCTCAACTGATGAAGTTGGTATCAGAACTAGCAATCCCTAATCTGAAATGTCATCCTATTATGATGAATTCCTTTCCATTATTCCAGTTGTTACTGCCTCCAGTTCTTCCTCAAAGGCATATGTCTGCCTGGTAATCCCTCCTGGCTTTGTCATTAACAATTTTGGTAGGGTACTCATCATCCTACTGTGACAGCTTAGTCATTAATAAAGATGACTCAAGAATCATTAAAAACCTAAACTGATCTGTTTCTCCAATATTCTCCAGTTTGTGCATCTCACAGCAAGAGAAAAAAGTAAGTTCTAGCCCTATATAAATGAATATATTCTCATATGATAAAAATACTTGTGAACTTTGTTCAGAGTATTACGTATTGGAAAAGAAAGTTAGTGTAAACAGCCATCTCCTCAAAAAATCCCAAGTCTCATAAGTGTACATCCTGCCTGCACCACAGATATCAAAATCCAGGCTTAAATTTGCTCACAGATGGTTAGCTCTCAGATACATACTAAATTTCCAGTCAATAGCTAGATTCTTAGGCTTTGAAGACAACAAGAATTTGTTAACTCATAAGTAAATTGCCCTATGAACTGTTTTGACTTACCCCTGTAGAAGTCCATTGACTTTTCTAACAGAACATGTCAGTTCTTGAGCAGTGATGCTTGCAGACTTTGTTTCTCGGATTTCGTTGACAATAAAAGCTATCCTGAAAGACATGATAACCTCATTTCACACTAATAAAACCCACACAGAATGTCTCGCTGTGGTGTTTCACACCCTAAACAAACAAGAAAGCACAGGGAGTACAGACAGAACCCTGCTATGAACTTAAATAACTGGCAGTTTTTACAGGAATGCCATCACAGTGATCATAAACAGGAGCACAAAAATGTTTTAAACATACTTCTCTATGTTTCACAGGGAAAAGCAAGCCAGAAGCTAGTTCCAGACCCCACAGACCTCTGGTGATCTGTTTGTAGCAACAGAGCAGAAAATGCAGACAACAAAGAGTACTGGTTAAAAAACAAACAAAACCAAACACAAAACTAAGATGTCCAGAGTATAAAAACAGTAGGATGAAATTTCAGAATGCCAACCTTGTAATACTACACCATACAAATAGGGGCCTTTGGGTTAGTACTGAGTAACTGAGCCACTTTTATTTGTGTATGTGTCAACAGCTGCATACTCAACATTTTACTATAAAATACCCAGACAAACAAAAAAAAACCTGACAAACAAAAAAAAACCCAACAAACAAATATGGGGTTCAAAATCATTGCTGATTTTGGGCGCATTTATTTAAACACCTCTGCCCTGTTTTCAGAGAGCAGGTGTCTTCTGTAGGAAAAGGGAGAAAAGGGGAAGAAAATACAAGAAATCCTAATAATGTCTACTTGAATTCTCAAATCTTATATCTTAAATTTAAATCCTAAATTCTTAGTCATTAGAATCATTAGAATTCTTAGTCATTTTCCAAGCTGAGGATGACTTCCTTGTATTTTATTCCTTTTATGTTTTTTTTTGAATGAAACTTATTGAAAATTTATATTGGAATAGCCACAAATTGGGTTTGGGCTGATAAAGTAACTTCTAACTAGAAGTTTCCAGGAGATAAATGTTCAATTCTGTGAATCCATACTCATTCAAGATTTTTTTATAAGACTACACCTAAATGGTAATGAATAACAACTAATAACTGAACAGTATAGCTGCCCAGCTACAAAAATAAGGGACCTGCTTTCACAACATGAGTGAATTGCAGTCATTTGAGGCATCTCTTACCAGCAAAACAACTTCAGGCTGTAGGAATGAAATCGTTTTAAGATGAGGACTTAAGGACATTATCTAGTTTGATCAAGTTATCTAAGCTTTATTGTCATGTTATATTGCAATCCAAACGGATAAGAACATGATTTTATACCAGTTATCAAAGTATTCTCAATTAACAAAGTTTAGAGAGTCAGAAGAATGTCTGTAAAGCAATGCATGTACATACATGAACACTACTTTAGTTTACAAAGCTGTGCTCTGCATAGGTGAGGAGGAAAATCTGCTTTTATTTTTTTGTCTCAGATTCATATACAACAGCTGAAGTCAGGAAAAAGGTTGGTTTGAAAAGTATGTCAGTAGAAAGGAATGTGAGTGTACAAGTCATCATCTGAATACACCTAATTTTAACAGTTGAGCATGTCAAAATGATATCTTTATGAGACACGGCAGTCCCACAGGTGGTATCACAGTATCAATTGCTGCATTTCAGTTGAAATAGTGATGCAGTTGTACATCAAATGGTAGCTAGTTGGGAGTGCTGGAAGGATTCCCTCAGCTAATGATAATTCAATAAAAGGGGAAATGAAATTTAAGTCGGCCAATGATTGCAGCATCAGAATTATTTTCAGAATCATACAAAGTGACAGCTTTTAGTCCATGGCTACAGTGAAATGTTTGGATGTGGGGTAACTGCAGTTGAATCAAACAGCAGCAAAAGTCCCTAGAAAAATGATGATTAAAAAAGAGAAACCAGCTTAGACTTGTACCAGAAATAATCTTTTTTCTTACTAATGTAATCGTGGATTCTCAAAAAAGGCTTCTAAGAGTTATAGGCTCAAGTACCTACTAAATAGGAACTCGGTGAGTGCCTGCTTGACTTCTGCCATGGAAGTGCCTTAAAAAGCAAAGAAAAAAAAATGTGGAAAATCTAATTACTGGTTGCTTTTGTGTTTTTTTTGTTGTTTTTTTTTTCCCCCAGTGACTCAGGAATTAGTCTCCTGAATCCCAGACATTTGAACATGTATGTCTCCTCTTCCAACTTCCTCCCCCCATGCCATCCCCATAGGGACCACAAGTGAAGTTTGTCTAGGTTTCCTCTGAATGTCTGCACAGTGTTTCTCCTCCAACGGCAGACACTACTGTTCTTATTTTTAGTACCACACACTAATCAGAATGACTCGGGGAATTCTTGCTCATGCACAGACTCCAGTGGGAAGAGTTCAAACTCGGTGCCAGATTGCTGCATTTTCATTCAGCATTGCTGAATTTTACAAGTGGTCCAAAGAAACATTTGTTCCTGTTGTTCGTATTACAAACCCGACAACATGTACGTGGGGTGTACTTTGTTTTCGGTAACCTATCTTGACCAAAACCCAGAGATAACTTCCACTAGAAACATACTGGAAATGGTCACTTTGTAGCCTTAAGGAACAGCAAAGATTATTTTGTTAAGTCTTCATAGCCTGAAATTCTTTCTAATGAAAACTCTCAGCTTTTAACCTCTGAACGCTTGAAATTGAATGCAGTTCATCTTGGGCTACACTTCTTCAGGTGAAGTGTGAAACTCAGTTGCCCGGACAAGAAAATACTTTTCTTCTAATAAAATCAATCTTTATCTTTCCAGTGCTAGGAAGTGAAGGTACACATTTAGGAGCAGAACTCTAACCCTAGTGAAAACCATGGAAGAAAAGCCTTACAGTCTAATTAATAGCATTTTTAAGAATATTAGTTATTAATTACAACACCAATCTTCCATGTAGTTTTCCAATTGAAGGACACAACATTTAAACACATAAAACATATTTTCTGTAAGAGACTATTCTGTCTTTGACCCCATGTCTGCGTTATTCATTTAGAATATAAATGCAGGGAATAAGTAACTGTTCAGTGGGCAAAAAAAGAAAGTCTTTAAAATCGACAAGGTTAGTATAGATCACTGCTTTTGTTGTTTTAAGGCATTTTGTAATAGAACAGCCTGCTCACACTTCCAATGCTATTTATTTCACAGAGCGTATATTTAGAGCATATTTCTGTTGCTGTTGCACAATAGTAGCAGCTCCAAGCTCTACTTTGCTATACACTTTGTTGCTTCTCTGTTGCAAGAAACTGTCCACATGGCAATGCCAACTCTCTCAAATCACATGGAGAATATACCATAAAGAGTCATCAAGGGAAGATCTTGGAACTGAAAGAAGAAATGCACCAATGATAAATGATAAAATGGTGAAACTGAAGAAAGATTTATTTGACACAAAGTGAAAAGAAATCTTTTCTTGGATGAGCTTAAAAACAACTTCAAATTCACATCTAGCTCTTCCTTTTGCTACATATATTTATACTACATACAAGCAAGTAGACTAAAGATCTAAGAATGGATGGCTACACGCAGATAGGGAAGGTGATTTTTCTATTCCAAAACTGTTTCTTAAGAAAGAGAATGATCTTGCTGGTTCTTTTCCCAGTGCTTTTGAAATACCTTTGTCTAAGTCTTGTCTTCACCATTGTGATGTTGAAATTATGCTGCTGGCTATGAACTTTCCATTTTTTAATTTATTTTTCTGGAAGGAGTAATACAAACTATATTTTATAGACAGTTTTCAAGTTCTACCATCACCCAAAATACTTATGCACAGATAAAATGTCAGGCTAGTTTATTATTATTTCTGTTATTATGAAGCCTGAAAGAATGAAAATCCATCGATCTTGATGTAGTACACAACAGTTTATATTGTGAAGGAAAAGTGAAATATATTGGTATTTTAGAGATGTGGATCAGTGATGGAGATTCTCAGAGGGTGGTTCCACTTTGGTCCCTTGCCATTCCTGCTTTTCTTCTTGAGCAGAGAAAGAAGTTTTCATGTTGTGCCATGTTACATTATCAGTGGGGAGAGATAATCTGCAAAACCAAACCAAAACAAAAAGAACAAATGTGGAAGGGTGAATAGAGATCTTAATTTACAAAAACCACCAAGGAAATCTGTCACCAGGAATTAAGGAGTTAGATGTAGATTTCCATTATTTCATTACAGTCTTTTAAACTTTAAATACAGTTTTCCTTTTGACAACTTCAACCATAAAACAAGCACTATTTCTGTGCAAAGGGTTAGCTAAAATAAGAATTATATCTACTGGAGAAAATGCATTGTTTTGCTGAGCTTAATCTGAAATAAATCTTCATGCTATTTGTTGATGTTCTGCATGGAGACCACACTTAAAAGGAAGTTAATCTGTAAAGAAGACCAACTGTAACCACATCAGAGTGAAGTGGGTTTTTTTTGTTGTACTTTATTATTTTTCCATAGGGGACCACAACAGAAAACATGACTGGAAGGAACCACAAAATTGAAGAAAGACACAGCTGACATTCTCACAGTCTTGGCTCTGCAGCTAGTGCAAAAGAAGGGAGACAGAATGCTCAGCTTCCCTGTAATATGCATTTCCATTAACAAAAAATTAAGTTGCAAATGAAAGCTGCTAAGGCTTTCTCCCAGCAAAGCTTTTGTATTATTTCAAACTGTATGAGGCAAAACCCATTCTCTCTGGAAAGTACTGGGATTTCTCTTGACAAATGGGTTTTGGATCCAAGATGAAGTTTCAGGGTTAAAAATAAGAAAGACAGGCAGAAGGCATTGAAAATGCTAGGATAGCAAGTGAATGCTGAAAAGCCTTGGGGTCTCATCACATGCTCATGTGGGATAGTGAAGAAAGCAGACTTGCATCCAGCAGTCTCACATCCCTGAGGCTTAGCTTGCCCACTGTCCTCAGGTGGAAACTTTCTCTCTTGCATGCTGAATATGTAGCTGTCCAAAGTGAAACAACTAAAAGTAAATGGTAAAGATTTATCCAGACACAATCAATACCCTACACTTGTGCTGAATATGGAAAAAAGAAGAAGTTTCAAGTCTCTGTTCCCAGTCAGTGTTTGGTGCTTTTCCCTTTCTAACTTCAAGGTGAATTTTATAGACTAGATCAAGGTACCCCAAAATTATGAAAAAGAGAATGGAGATCATTAAGGATTATAATAAAACGTACATATAATCCTGAAGGGTTATAATAAAGTAATTTTTATAGTTCAAAGTTTTTAGGTCTGGTTACTTCAAAGGCATGTCTTATATACCTCCCTACAAATCTCCCATCTGAAGCATAACATCTTTAAGTGAACACTTGAGACTATCTTTTACCATGCTGATACCCATCAAGATGTCAGCTTTCACAGAAAACCAACAGAAAACGCTGTTTTAAATAAAAACACATTCAGACTGATAGCTTAGAATTATCAAAGAGAAAAATCTGCAAGAAAGAGAAGAGAAACAGGAACTGGCTTAACCATGATATCAAAGGCTTTTAAAAAATAATTGCAAACAGATTTGCTATCTATTTTTGTTTTCTTACAAGAGAAGAACAGAGGGACTGGCAACCAAATTCCAAACAAAAGATATATAAATAAAATAGCTTCCTCCCTACAAAAAGAATATTTCAATTATGAATGGTGAATTTTGTAAAAGAAAGATTTTGCTTTGGTTTTCAACAACGTTCTATGTTTCTCTGTTCAAAGTTGTTGGAAATTCACTAAGTACTTCCAATAGCAGAAACGAGAACAGGCTCGATTTATAGAATCCCAGACTGGTTTGGGAAAGGACCTTAAAATCATCCAGTTCCAACCCCCTGCTACAGACAGGGACACCTTCCACTAGACCAGGTTGCTCCAAGCCCTGTCCAGCCTGGCCTTGAACACTGCCAGGGATGGGGCAGCCACAGCTTCGCTGGCCACCCTGTGCCAGTGCCTCAGCACCATCACAGAGAAGAACTTCTTCCTTAGATCTAACCTGAACTTCCCGTTTCAGTTTGAACCCATCACTCCTTGTCCTATCACTACAGTCCCTGATGAAGAGTCCCTCTCCAGCATCCTTGTAGCCCCCTTCAGACACTGGAAGCTGCTCTGAGGTCTCCACTCAGCTTCTTTTCTCCAGGCTCAACAGCCCCAACTTTCTCAGCCTATCTTCATACGGGAGGTGCTCCAGCCCCTGATCGTCCTCCTGGCCTCCTCTAGACTTGCCCCAACAGCTCCATGTCCTTCTTAAGTCATCTAAAATAAACAGGTCACAGCTGACCCTTTTAAACTTTGAGTGAATTATTCTTTACATTTGCACTAAGAACATACTCCTCTGCAAACTATTTACACCTTTTATTGTGGTGTGACTGATAGACTTGTCAGTAGATGCATTCTAGTGTCATCACTCATCACCAAGTGCTGTAAAGGGCAAGTTTTAGCTTTCTTGGATTAGATCTCTTTTTTTAACCTGCTTTTCTCCACCCTCTATCAAGGAGCTAAAGTGATATTTGCTTGCTATTTATTTGTTTAAAGTATGGATAATAAGTCTCATATCACTTTCAGGACTGAGATAATCTCAAAGAAGAAAGACCTCATAGGGAATTAACTGCCTAAATATTTTACAAATCTTGGTCTAAGTCTAAGGGGCCAAATACATTTCTCCCTCCCATCTGAACGTGAAGTGTCATCATTGTGGTCGTAACAGGGAACAGAAAATAGATCCTGGTTTTCCACATTTCATCATGTCAGGCATGATCTTCTGTCCCTGGTGACATCTCCTGGAGCAGCCGCAAGTGCTAGTGAAAAAGCTTTTCGTAGAACCATCATTCATAGAGCTGTTCTGCCTCTTAGGCATTTAGTGTGAAGCATTAGATGTTGAAGCTTGCACTTTACTGGAAGTTGGCTGATGTCAGTGGACACAAATGTTACTCAGCACTGAGGTTACTCTTGGTATTGTCATTTTGTTCTTCGCAAAATTTGAATTCAAAATACTGAGAAAGACAAAAATCAAATTACATCCACTGAGGTTTTGTTTCCTCTAATCATGAATACGACAATTACTGATCTGTAGATACACACGCACAGTGGATATTTAATTCGAAAATTCCTTAGACTAGCAAGGATTAGTAGTAAAACATCAACAAAAGGTATTTTGAGTCACTTTACCAAGAGCTGTCCAGCATCACAGTACTAACTGTGTACTACATGGAAAGGGCTATCAGCTTTGTTCTGTCCTTGAGCCAGACTGTTCAGCCTAACCTCAATATCTATAGATTTAGATCAACATTTAGAATTTCACAAAAAAAAAATCTCTTTTTCTTACACCCATTCAGGCTGAAAATAAAAGGATCACTAGAAGACCACTACTTGGTTCTTTTTCAGTACTCAATAAAATACAGAAATACGGGACTACAGAAATCTTCCTTGTGCAAAAATATTTCTGAAAGTTCCTCTTCAGTGTCCCATCGTTAGTCTTCTAATCCAACTTTAACTTTAAAATGTATTGACCCAAATGCTAATTTAGGTCATGCTTTTCATTAAGCCATATAAACAGACTTTTTTTAATAATACCCCTAACAAACATAAGTCAGTCTAACATTCAGTGCTATTTTGCACTCATTGGTAAATGAGAGTAGATAAATTGAGTCAAAATATTGATGGGCACTTAATAGGAGTCCTGGAACAAGCATGGAGGGTGATAAAATGAATACAGTCACTGTCTGCAGAAGTAAGTCAGGAGTTCTCAAACTTTCTAAGCTTCCTCACAGGTTTGCCTGCATGACTCAAAGACAAAAGATTTGTGGTGCCTGCAACTGCCAACACTGTGTGATGTTGTTATGTGTGGTGTTTGAAACATTTTCTTTGCTGAGGAACACCGACTATCCTTTTAATGAGATGACAAGCATTAAAGTGCCTCCAAGTAGAGAAATGAGTTAAGAGTAATAGGAAATCACTGACACTGAATTAAACATCTTAAAGTATGATCTGAAAATGGAAGAGCAAAGGTCTTCTTTCTGTCCCTTCTGATTGTTAGACATTTTCCATCTTGAATTCCTTCCAGTGTAGCAAACAGCTTTGATTGAAGCATGCTGGAGTTGTAAAAATACCATAAATATTGTGTATGCAACATACAACAGCTTCCAAATTAGACTGAATGGAAAAATGCATTATTCTGGGGGGGAAGAGAGGGGGTAGGGAAGCCCACCACTAAGTCTGACAAAACCAAGAAGAAACATAGACAATTACTAGCTTTTAACAGGCAAAATCTCCACTATGAGTACATCTGGCATAGTTCCTGAAGGACATTACTGAAGAATGCATGCCTTGGTAGTGAAGCTGTCTTGAAGCTAATGAAGAAAGATCAGCATCTACTCTGCATGAAAATCAGTCAGCTTACTCAGTTGGCTACTGTGATGTGAGCTTGCCACAAAGAAAACTTTTAAATGGGAGATTATGGAATGGGAACCTGTAAGAGACAGGGAGAGACTACCTGACAAAGTTCCAAAAAGTCTGTACAATCATATAGCATAAGGCTGGCTGTTAACCAGCCTTTCTAAAGTAACAATTTTCTTGCTTTTCAGTGTAATCACTATAAAAGAAAAAAACAACAGAACAAACCACTAGACATTTCCTGGTAAAGTATTTATTACTGCTGGTGGTATTACTTCTGCCCAACTTTCCATCGCTTGCTTTTAATTCTCCTGTTCTGTTACATGCTGATACATGCTAAGAATTGACATCATACCTCCCAACAACTCCTTCCAGTAGTTAATATGGAAAATAGACTTCTCTACACCTTTAATGGAAGCAAATTGCACTTTTAAATTGATGCTACACTGTGCTGCCTGGCAGGCTAGCATCCACTGTGGTGTGACATCCACCGGTGGGGTAAGGCTGGGAGCAGCAGGAAATAAAATAATCCATTATAACAAGAAGCTGTGTATCTTAGGCACCTACAGTAGCAATAATTTAAGATGTCTACTGCATCAGGTAGATTTTTATCACAATAATTTCTGGTTGTACACTTTACCGAGAAGTAAAGCATTAGGGACTTGGGAGGGAAG